AACCCCTGGACTCAGGCAATTCTCTCACCTCTGCTTTCCAAAGTGCTGGGATTACAGGTCTGAGCCACCACGTCCAGCTAAAGATGATCTTTGATGAATATAGAATTTGACGTTAGCAGTTATTTTTTAGCACTTAAAAGATGTTCTGGCACTTCTGGCCTTCATGGCTTCTGATGAGAAATCCACTCTCATTCAAATTGTTTTCTGCTATACATAAGATGTTTGTTTTGCAGCGTTCAATAATTTTTTCCTTTGTCTTTATTTTTCTGAAGTTTACTTATGATGCATCTTGGCATCGATTTGCTTGGGTTCATCATATTTGGGGCCTGCTTAGCTTCTTGAATTTATAACTATATGTCTTTGCCAAACTTTCAGCTACTATTTCTTTGAATACCTACTCAGATTCATCTTTTCCTTCTCCCTCTGCAATTATGCGAGTGAATTTTATGTTTTTTGTTATAATGCCTGAAGCTCTGTTCTTTTTCTTTTCTTTCCTTTTTTAGTTTTTTGTTGTTGTTGTTTCCCATTGTTCAGAATGGATAATTTTTATTGTTTTATCTTCAAGTTCACTAATTCTTTTCTGTCTTCTCCTTTCTACTGTTGGGCCTCTACATTTACATTGGTTCTTTGGTTATGGTATTTTTCAGTTCTAAAATTTGTATTTGGTTCTTTATATTTTCTCTTTGTGTGATGAAACTTTATTTTCTCATTTGTCTCACATGCATTTACAATAGTTCATTGAAGCATTTTTATGATTGCTATTTTAAATTCCCTGTCAGATAATTCCATCATCTGTGTTATCTTGGTATTTGTTTCTGTTGGTTGTGTTTTCTCATTTAAGTTGAGATTTTCCTGGGTATGAGTGACAATTTTCAGTGGTATCCTGGGCATTTTTGAGTAGTATGAGACCTTTATTTAAATAATCTGTTTTAGCAGGCAGTCTCTGACTGTACCAGCGGAGACACCTCCTGGTTACTGCCTGGTGAGAGTGGGATTTCAGACTCTCCACTAGTCCTCTACTGATACTACCCTGACTGGAAAATGTTGAGTAGCCTTGGTACAGCTGGATGAGAGTGGAAGTCTAGGCTCCCCACTCTGCCTTGCCTGACAGAAGTGGGGATAGGTCTACAGTTTTTTCGGTGCTATTTAGCTGCGGAAGCGCAGGTATCATCTCAAAGCTTTCTGTCTTCCTAGGTCACCACATTTCCTGATTCTTTGGTTAAGAGAGGGCAGGTTTTTATCTGGGGCTTTTGTTGTTGTTGTTGTTACCACTGGTATTTTCTATTTTCTGACTTCTTCAGTACCCAATCTGGGATATATATGAAAACCCAAAAGAAACCCTAGGGAACTCACCACCATGTCATTCTTTGTGTCTCAAGTTCCTTTGCTAATCTGCTACCTTCTCTCTACCTTGCGGAGTCTATGTTTGTATTATAAATAATGCTTAGGGTTTTTAGCTATTCTTAGTGGGAGAAATAGGGAGAAGTGAATCTACTCCATTGTGGCCCAGAAACAAGAGTTACCTCTCCTTTTTTTTTTCTAATCTCTTTTTTTTTTTTTTAGTCAGAATCTCACTCTGTCACCCAGGTTGGAATGCAGTGGCATGCTCATGGCCACCACAGCCTTGACCTGCTGGGAATCAGGCAATCCTTCCACTTCAGCCTTCCAAGTAGCTGGGACTACAGGCATACACCACAATGCCTGGCTAATGTTTTGATTTATTGTAGACATGAGGTCTTGCCAAGTTGCCCAGGCTGGTCTTTAACCCGTGGGCTCAGGCAATCCTCTCACTTTGGCCTCCCAAAGTGCTGAGATTATAGGTGTGAGCCACCGCACCCAGCCTATTTTTTATATTTTTTAATCAATTCCATAAGTAAGAGTTAATTCTGGGGGTGAATTCTAGAAGTCAAAGAATCAGCAAATCAACAGTTTTTATATTTGGCCTCAGGAATCATGAAGTAGGTGGGTATTAGGACATCAAAATATGTGTGCTTATTAGGACTCTATATTGGGAATGAGTGTTTGAGGTCCCTTGCCACCCATGGCCATCATCAATATAATGCATACCTTTGCAGGTACATTTGATAATCTTTTTAATAATGTACTCTCTGTCTCTCTCAAGATTTTAGCAATCAATCAATCAACCAACCAAACAAAATACCACACCTAAAAACAAAGCAGTGACAACAATAAAAAGTAAAAGCCATTTTCCAAAAATAAAGACAAGCCAAACTAATGAGACTTTTAACACCAAGAGCATATATATATTTTTCTGTCTGTTATGCTTTTTAATAGCCAAACAATGATGTCAAGGAATTAACATTTTTTAATCTATATGTGACATAATTGCATCCCCTGAAGTTCAGTGGATAAACTTTGAATGTTACAGAAATGAACATGATAAAATTATTACAAAGATAGTTTTGGTTTTCCATATTATTTTCTTTTAACACCAGGCTAAACAATTTCCTAATAACTTCAGCTGCCTATAGAGCACGTGCGAGTTTAGAAATGTAGCATCATTCATTCATTTAAAAAAGAAAGTATTCACACATATTTGAATGCCAACTGTCTTGTGGTGATTTAGTCTTAAAGGAAGCTTGGTTCCTACTCTCATGAAGTAATTTTAGTGAGAAAAAGAAAAAAATCATTATTTACTAGATATTATGCAGTATATGCTATAATTAAGGTGTGCAAATGTTGCAATGAAAACACACCTCTTTGGCTGGGTGCACTGTCTTACGCCTGTAACAGCACTTTGGGAGGCTGAGGCAAGAGGATTGCCTGAGTCTAGGAGATCAAGACCAGCATGGGCAACTTAGTAAGATCTCATCTCTACAATAAATCAAGAAAAATTAGCCAGCTGTGGTGGTGCATGCCTGTAGTTCCAGCTACTTGAAAGACTGAGATGGAAGAATCACCTCAACCCAGTAGGTCAATGCCATAGTAAACGTGAACATGAGACTGGACTCTAGCCTGGGCAACAGAGTGAGACTCCAACTCAAAAAAAACAAAACAAAACAAAAAAACACCCCTAGAACCAAAAACAAACAAACAAACAAAACCTCTTTGAGGTGTTTCTTGGCTGGGTACAGTGGCTCAGGCCTATAATCTCAGCACTTTGGGAGACTGAGGGAGAATTGCTTGGGTTCAGGAATTTGACACCAGTCTAGGTAATATAGTAAGGCCTCATCTCTACAACGAAAATTAAAAATTAAACAGATGTGGTGTTCCACTGTAGTCCCAGCTACTCAGGAGGCTGAGGTGGGAGGATAGCTTGAATCTAGGAGTTCGAAGCTGCAGTGAGTGAGCTGAGGTCGTGTCACTGCATTCCAGCTTGGGCAACAGAATCAGACTTTGAGTTAAAAAAAAGAAAAAAGTACTCTCACCTAGATTGAGGGCAAAGTGACATGACTTGAATTCTGCAATGGTAGAACTTAGCTAGAAGAAAGAGTGAAGGTATTTTGCATGCAGAGAGAGCAGTATCCATGAAGTCATGGAAGCATAAAGTACCCTGAGGACTTTCAGGAACAACCATAGTCCTAAACTGCAAGCGGAAATGAGTCACCTGTATTTGTATCTGGTTCTAAAACAATTTAATTTTTCAAACTTGGTACAATGTACTCATAAAGGATGTTTGATTGTTTCAGGAATCCAAAGTAAATTTTTGAAGAATTTATTTGTGCTTGTGGGCATTAATATATTATTCGGCACTTCATAAAAATGCGATGTAGGGAAACTCCATCATTTTAATCTATGGTATAGATGATTGGTTTTAGCAATTTACATAGCTATTCAGATGTTATCACTGGGTGTTTGTTTATGTGGGCAGCTCAATTGCAATTATAAGGTGATAAATTGAGACTAGGAGGATTGATTGTTTCATATTTAGGTAGGGTCTTTATCAGAGCCAAGTTACTTTCTTTCTTCTTCTCTATGTTGGCTTTAGTTTCTTAGCCTTCGGGTCATTTTTCTAACTCCTATGGTATTTGCAAGCTCATTACACTTGTGGCTGTATTTCTTTAGCTGTGCTTTAATACACATTTATTTGGCGGTGACTAGGGTTCATACTCTGCAAGGTTCTCAATACAACGTCAAATAAGATATGACTCCTGTCTTAAGGGGAGCTTACAGTCCATTAGATAAGTATGACACAATAACTATAATACAGTCTCTAGGCCTACAGTGGTTAAATTAGTCAGAACTCTTTAGGTTGCAAGTGATTGAAACTCAGTATAGATTTATCAGAAAGAGATGTTTACCAACTGGCTTGTATTACCATAATTTTGATACAGGTAACACTTCAAAGATTCGTACAGCTGAATTTCATGTATCATCAACAGTTCAGACAGCACAGCAGCTTCATTTCTGTCCGTTCTGAGGAATTTTAGTTTTAGAATTCTCTGCTTTTGGTGATAATCTCAGGGCTGTAAATTTGCTTTTGGTTTTTAGCACAGGAAAGTGAAGCCATCTTACTTCTAGGTTGCCATTTTGGAACCAGAGGACTATTTCCAGCATTCTCTACTTTTGCTAGCAGTACTTTCCTACATTCTGAGAAGGTAGGATAAAATGGTGGCTTATCAGTTTGAATAATTAATTTCTTTTCTATGCTCTGGCATCTAAGAAACATATCTCTTGAGACCAGGCATGGTGGCTCATGTCTATATTCCCAGCACTTTAGGAGGCTCAAGTGAGAGGATTGCCTGAGCCCACGGGTTCCAGACCAACCTGGGCAACTTAGTGAGACTTCATCACTGTAATAAATCAAAAAATTAGTTGGGCGTAGTACTTCATCACTGTAATAAATCAAAAAATTAGTTGGGCGTGGTATATCTGTAATAAATCAAAAATTTAGTTAGGCCTATAGTTCCAGCTACTTGAAGGCTGAGGTAGAAGAATCACCTGAGCCTACTAGGTTGAGGTGGCTGTGAGTGTGTCACTGCACTCCAGCCTGGGTGATAATAGTGAAGCTCCAACTCAAATGGAGAACTGCAGATACCAGGCCCAGCTGAGACTTGAACTCAAGACCTCTGGTTTAAAAGAGCAGTGTTCTAACCTCTGAGCTACAGAGCCACTGCAGGTGTCCTCATCAGTGCTTCTCAACCTATTTATATATTCAGAAGAGAGTCTGCAAAATCTATTGTTTAAGAGCAATCCCGCTAGCTCTCCAAAAGTTCTCACCAGATGAAAAAATCACGTGATCCCCACCCGCACCCACAAAATCATACAAAGGCAAAATAATTCTCTATGTGATCTGAAGTGTCATAAACGCAAATGAGAAAAAAGCAAAACAAGAAACAGGCATAATAATGAAGCTGAAAGTTAGGGACATGGAGCGAATGCAAGGCCAATTATATCACTGCTCTCCATGACCACTTTCTGAGCTTCTTTAGAATAAAAAAATCCGCCTCCTCCCAGAGGAGCCAGTTGTTTGTTTAGAGTCTCCAAAATTCTAAACTTGCCTCTGCAGAAAGGACCCTCTCTACCGAAGCTACTTGTCATCTCTGGAGTACCCGAGAAGAGAAGGATGAGACCCAAGAATATTCATGAAGTACCACCCAGTCTGTGCAGAACAGTTTTTGAGGATTTCCTCCTATGTTTAGGCAATGTTTACCTCCTGGTTTCTAACATCTAAAGAAATGTACAACCACAGGTCTATTATATTCAGAGTATTTACTGAATTTTTTTTTTGTATTTTATTTTTTAATGCTCAAGTTATCTCAGTGGGCTCTTTCTTCCCCTGTTTGCTGAAATTAGAAATTCTGATCCTCAAATGTGTTCATTCAAAATAGTATTTACTAATGCATGAGCAATAATTATGGGCTAGATACAGCGGATGTTACTTCAGTACCTCAAAAAGTTACTAGAAGTTAAGAGAAGACAGACCATGCATTCAAATCTCTACTACATAAGGCATATGTGATGCAATGTTTATCCCCTACAAACAAATAATTATAAGTGCTTTGACAGCTATCAAAGATCCAAAGTACTAGCCCGTATAGCTCTCTTTCCTCCCACTTCAGTCTCCACAAGTCAGTAGAGTCTTGCACCAGGGAACTTACATGTAAGGTATCTGGGACAAAAAGAGAATAGACCCTCAGTTCTTGATCAAATGAGATCTAACCTCTTTTTACAAAGCTTTTCTCAACCTTGGTTCCTTCAGAATTTTAAGGGGTGGGGGTATAGTGGTGAAAAGACAGGGATATGAAGGGGGGAAAAAATAAAGATGAAAGGGAGAAAGTTGAAGGGTAGGGATTAGGAGTGAACAGGCAGCCTGTTCCTATGCCCAACATTTCCTCCACCAAATCTGTTGACGATATTCCCAAAGATGCCATACCCCAACTGCCTTCTCCCAGGCTCATGTATCTGGTTGTGAATCTGGATTTTAGACCATAGGTTATAGTTTCTCTTTCAAGAGCAAATCTGTAAAAAGACAATTAAGACATATTTCAACTTATATAGGTGCGTGTAGGCATATATATGTGTGTGTGTGTAGGTATATATAGTATATAGTATAATAATTCAGTATATATAGTATATAGTATAATAATTCAGTATATATAGTATATACTATATACTGTATAGTATATGTAATATAATAATTCATGATATATAGTCTATAGTATATAGATATATAGTATATGTATAGGTACTATGTATCCATATGAAATATCATACAGCACTTATAGATTTTTAGAAGCCTGCATTTAATAACACAGGGAATGGTCATGAAATACCACTGGACTAGGTGTGGTGGCACACACCTGTGGTTTTAGCTACTTGGAAGGCTGAGGTGAAAGGATCAGCTGAGTCCAGCAGGTCGAGGCTGCAGTGGCTGTGAGAGTGCCACTGCACTGCAGCCTGGGTGACAGAGTAAGAATCTGACTCAGAAAAGAAAAGAAAAGGCACTTGGTGAAAATAGCAGTGAAAAATGTTATGAATGATCACAATTTCATTCTAAATATAGAAAAAATCTTAGAAGGAAATAGATCTTGAACCTGTGCTCTCAGGTAATCCTCTCACCTCAGCCTCCCAAAGTGCTGGGATTATAGGTGTGAGCCCCTGCACCCGGCCTGTCACTTGTATTTTTTATGGTTAAACTCTAACCACTCAGAAGTCTCATATCTCACTTACCTAATTTTCTCCAAACTTGTAAAGAAAGAATTGAGAAAATAACATAAATCAATACTAAGGAAGTGTTTAGGAAATATGCTGCCCAGAAGTTCATGAAATATTGGCTGTGCTGTGCCCCACAAAAACCAATCTATAAAAAAGACAATTAAGACATTTTTCAGTTGGAATTTTATATTCACATTGCACTTTGAATTTAATACCCATTTTTCTGACATACCAAATGGTTTTAATCTATATTCAGAAATTTTCATTTCTACAGAATAGGTACACATAGGCTTCAACAGATATAAGAAGCTATTTGTACAAAAATTCAACATGTGCTTGTATCAAAATATACACCACTAATTTTGCATAGGGTTGTAATTGCATTATCAGTATAGAGAAAAAATATAGTTGCATTAAAAAGAGTAAAATCTACAAATAATAATCCAATTTTAAAAGAAGATATTTCCCATTTAATTTTAAGTAATAGATGAAATTACAGATTTAATAGGGATAACTCTCCAAATTTTAGTGTACTATAGATGGAATAGGCCCTTACAGTCTAATTATAGAAACTTGGTGGGATTTCTACCAGAATTTTAAATTGTTTCTCTTTTTCACAGTTTAATCTTAGAATAGTCATTGCAACAAGGTTCTTTTCTTGGCTATTTCATTTTCACAGTCATTGAAACATATTTTTCAGTTATAAAAAGTAAGCATTAGCCGGGCTCGGTGACTCAGCCTCTAATCCCGCGCCTTTGGGAGTCTGAGGTGAGTGGATTGCCTGAGCCCGAGGGTTCGAGACCCGCCTGGGCAACTTGGCGAGACCTCATCGCTACAAAAAATAAAAAAAAATTAGCCAGGCATGGTAGTGCACGCCTGTAGTTCCAGCTACTTGGAAGGCTGAGGCGGAAGGATCTCCGGAGCCCAGCAGATCGAGGCTGCGGTGGCCGGGAGCGGCCACTGCACTACACAGACTGGGCAACAGAGCGAGACTCCAACTCAAAAAAATAAAAATAAAAATAAAAAAATAAAAAGTAAGCATTATCTTTCAGAATAGCTACTGCCACCCAAGGTGGGTGATATTTGCTAAAAAGCATCTAGAAGCTCTAGAGAGAGGAGAGATAGGATTATGTGACCCTATAGGGTAGAAGACAGTGATACTCACCGAACTGTGTAGTGAAATGAAAGATGTAAGAATGACTTCTGGCGGTGAAGCCACACTCCGGATAATTTGAGAACAAAGGGGAATGCCTAGAAATCCAAGTAAAGAACAGCAACATTCTCTTGCTTTTGACTCCCTTTTGTTCAGAGCCGTGGGGATGGCCATTTTTTCACTGAAAATTTCCACCCGTCCCTGGGGTAGCATCGAACTGACCTGCTGGATCAGGACTTAAGCCACAGAGAGCAAAGTGATCCATCCGGTGAGCTAGGTCGTAGACACCGTCAAGGCAGAGATGGATGCGAGGCAGGAGGGTAAGGCCAAGGGCAGGGGACTGGGCGGGGAGTTACTAGAGGACGTGGAGAGGTGACCAGGCAGCGTCCCTCCCTACCCTGCTCTCCCACTCCCACCCGGATCTTCAGGTCTGCAAGAATTATTCACTTTTATTTTCTCCTGTCTTTCCATTCCGCAATCCATGAATACAGATTAGTCTGTCAGATTCCAGAGAAAATTTTTGTTATTGGGAACCTACTAGGTGATGGCACCTACCCGTGAGCCATCAGAGTCTACCATACATACTTCAGTACATACTACTAGCTTGTCAGGACGGCTGAGTGGTCTAAGGCGCTAGACTCAGGCTCTCACTTCCCGTGCTCGGGGTTTCTGGTCTCTGCATGGAGGCGTGGGTTTAAATACCACTTCTGACACAGCTCGTAATTTTTCCTGCCAGGTGTATGGAAAGTTTTGCCTTGGACTGCCCACAACAGTTTAGCCATTTCTACCCCCAAAGATTTTCAGCCTGGACCGTTACTTATCAACTTGTCCCTTAACTGACTTTACGGTTAAAAACAGGGGGGAATGGGCTTTCGGGGGTTGGTATGTGAAAAAGTCTCCGTTCTTAGAGAGCTCTCCCGGAGGATTCCTGATTCCTGTATATCATCTGTCTCTCTAGTATCATCTGTGTCTCCAATAGGACAATCGAACATTAATCTGACCAGCAGCACCCACTGCTGTACTGACGAAGTACCCCAACAAACTGTTCTTTCCTTTGCCACTCGAGTGATCGGTCATCCACACGTCGAGTCCTGGGTTTTTACTATAGGAGAAATCACTACAGTCTTCATTGCTTTCCTGCACATTTAAAAGAAACTGTTATAAGCTTCTGTCGAAACACTTCCTATGCTGCCTCTAAACCCCAGAAAGAAAGGCGCCTCGAGATAAAGACACTGCTGAAAACATGTCTGGGTCAACAAGCCAATAAATGATCATGCTGTTAAAATAAACAATTTTAAAGTGCCCTCTGCCGGGCAACTCCTTCGGGACCCTCCCACTGTAGGAGCTTTTCTTTCCTCTCAATAAATCTTGCTTAAAAAAAAAAAAAAAAGTGCCCTCTGTGATTTCTTCTCAGAATTATGTGATTTGGCTGTCATTTCTGTCTCTTTTTTGAAGGAAAAAAATTATATAAATTTCCACATACACTTGGATCATAGTCTTAAAATTAACATCTTAGATTTTTGCAGCATTGATATTAAATGAATCTTCTCTTTATATCATTTTAAAATTACTACCCAGTTATTCTCCTAGGAATCGACCTCAGCCCAGTTCCAGCTCAGCTCTGTGGTTGGCCTTGACTAGTATAGTCTTTGTAGTATTTTGAGGTAGCAGATTGTTAGAGGGAACCTAGATACCCATCATGTGTCCTGCAGTGGCTGCCTATGCTTTTCAAACTATGCAGCAGTCACAAGTAACCAAGCAGCCGCAAGTGCTGTAAGATGGTATGTTTCAAACTCTGTTG